AGGTGATTGGCACAGCAGCCGCCACTCACACCCACTGCTGGTGCTGGCCCAATGGCTTCACGCCATCAGTGGGTGCGAGTGGGACCAGTGTTGCCACCAGACTGGGGACCAGTGGCCATGGAAGGAGGGGCTGGGCAGGGGCATGGAGGATGGGCTGAGATCCATCTCTGTGCCAACTGCAGTCTCGTGGCCCACAGTTCTTTTCAAGGTGCTCAAATTCTTGCACTGGGCCCCTTGTCTTTTCATATGTCTGCTGACCATCTATCTGTATGTCCTTTTTGGAGAATTGTCTATTCGGTCTTTAGCCTGTTTTTAAATTGGATTGTTTTTGTTTTTTGGTGTTGTTTTATAAGTTCTTTATAAATATTGGATATTAAACCCTTATCAGATGTGTCATTGGCAAATACCTTTCTTCCATTCAGTGGGTTGTCTGTTTATTTTGTTGATGGTTTTCTTTGCTGTTCAAAAACTCTTTAGTTTGATATGCCCTCTTCCATCCTCCATCCCCCAGCCTCCTGTCTATTTTACTTGGTAGTTCAGTTTTTTTTTTTTAAATTAAATTCCATAGCCAGCTGGTGTGGCTCAGCAGTTGAGTGACAACCCAGGAACCAAGAGGTCTTCAGTTAGATTTCCAGTCAGGGCATATGCTTGGGTTGTGGGCGTGATCCACAGTAGGGGGCCTGCAGAAGGTAGCCAATCAATATTTCTATCTCATTGATGTCTCTGTTGCTCTCTCCCTTCCTCCTCTCCAAAATCAATAAACATTTTTTTTCCATATATGAGTGAAATTTTATGATATTAGTCTTTATTTGACTGGCTTCTTTCTGATTGAAGAGTCTGAGATTATTTTAAAACTCTTTAATCAGAGTTTGCTAGGTCCATCCATGCTGTTAAAAAAGGAAAATTTTTTTTTTTTTTTTTTTACAGCAGAGTAGTGTCCCATTATGTAAAAACTAGTATCCCTTGTCTTTGACCATGGTTTATGCATATCTATACTAATAAAAGAGAAATAAGTAAATTGACCATACCTCTGCAATACCCACCAGCCAATCAGGAGGTGATATGCAAATTAGGAGGACAAAGATGGCAGTGGCCACGGTCCCCCAGCCACTTCAGGTGCAGAATGGCCAGGCAGAACAGGACACCTGCTATGAGGGGCAAGGCGGGGATAGAGGGAGCTACAGGAGCAGTGCTCTGGCCTGAGTGAAGCGAAGCCTGTGGCCAGAGTCAGGGAAAAGCCTGCAGACTCCTGCCAGAGTCAGCAAGGCAGAAGGCAGCAGCCAGAGCGAAGGCCTGGGTCCCGAGGGCCGGAGGAAAACAGGTGCTGGCAGCCCCATGAAGGAAGTCCCATTGCACGAATCTTCCATGTCTCTGGATCTATTTTTTTTTTCCATCAGTTTATTTTGTTCATCAGATTCCACATATGAGTAAGATCATGTGATACTTATTTTCCTCTGACTCACTTATTTTGCTTAGCATAATATTCTCTAGGTCCCTCCATGCTGTCTCAAAGTGAAACGGAATTTTTAGACTGGAACCCGGATTCTTTGTCCATCAGAGTTGAGGAATGAATCCACAGACAGAAGGTAGTATAGCAAAGATGGAGATTCATTAAAGAACAAGTATAGACTCCCACATGGGGAGAGGGAAAGAGTCCCACAGAATAGATTCCCATATGAAGAGGGGGAAAGGGTCCTATTGAGTTCCTTTTCCCTATGGCATATAAAGTCTGCCAATCCTGGTGCCTTGCTATCCCTTCTGATTGGTCACTGTTCCCTTAGACTGGTTACTATAGTAACTCCTAGGCTCAAAGGTTGAACCTCACATGGGACATGTGAGGTTCTCCCCTCCTCCTTCCTTATTGTTTCCCTATTCCCTATGGGCTTTCTTCTTTTCCTTCTGGATGAAGGAATCAGAAACAGAAATTTCAGAGTACTGGGTTAGGTGTACAATGTAATCTTGGCCCTACCTAGGACCATACATCAATACTGAGGGGAGAGAAAGATGCAGTGGTAAAAGTGCTAGGTTAGTAAATCGGTAACAAATGCTGTTATTAGACTATCAGAGCCCCTTGTTGTTATGGATGGTATGAGTGAATAGGAGATCCTGCTGCTGCCACTGAAAGTTAGGAAAGCTTCATTATGTAGGAATCTGGAGTAATCAAAGCTGAAAGACATAGGAAGTTTTAATAATACAGACCCTACCTCCCCGTGTGGCACAAAAGGAAATTGTACTTCTGAAAGTAGAGAAGTGCTACAAGGAAGAACACTGGATTTTTAGACCTAATGACCCTTAATCGAGCTATACATTAAACACTAATTCGAAAGAGTAATATGCACCACTAAAAAAAAAAAAATTCACCCCTATGTTCATTGCAGCATTATTTATAATAGATAAGATTTGGAAGCAGGACAAGTGCCCACTATTAGATAAGTGGAGAAAAAAGCTGCAGTACATTTATACAAGGGTGTACTGGGCTGAGGGACCCTACCGGTGCACAAATTCATGCACCGGGCATCTAGTACCATATAGCGCATCCATAACTTACACAATCTAGGATGGAACTAGTCTACAGCAGCATTTCTTGTTCTCTGCACTATAGACATTTTGAACTAGATAATTCTTTACTCTGGGGCTGTCTTGAGCATTGTAGGATGTTTACAGCATTTCTACCGACTAGATGCTAACAGTACATTTCTGGTCATGATTATAAAAAATGTTTCCAGATATTGCCAAATGTCCAGGGTTAGGGAGGGTGTAGCAAAATTGCACCCCATTATCAACCGCTGGATTAAGGCAATCATAATCTGTGAAATTGCCTGGAGAGTCGGTTAAAGAGTAGATGTAGAAGTGTAAAAGCTGATCATATTGGGAATTGAACATGGTACCTTAAAGAATTTCTACTTATGCATCAGAATGTTCAGAAGTTAATTTGTTCTCTGTCCTAAGTTGAACCACTTCACAAATCCAAAGTCAGTTTTTTGTTTTTTCATTTTAAAAATGTAAGCAATACTACTAACTCTTTAGGGTAGTTTTGAATATAAAATAATTGTGTGAAAACATTTTAGAAGCTATGAAGTGGTATATAATGTAAAATAATAATTTAAAAAATAAAATCACTATGATCACCAGCCCTTTTATCTACCTAAGGATATTATATTTCTTAAGAGTCTAGGGAGAAAAAAGGTTTACCAGCAGCCTCTGAGCGACAGATGAATGAATTACTCTGGCACTGTGAAGAGAGGCTAAGGGACTGGTTATAACAACCAGACAGCCTCAATGGCCTGCCTCATTAGGCTTTTATTGCAGTTTTTATCTCTAGATACAATCAGTAGGGTGAGTAATCTTGAGAGGATATGTGTTTGCATTATCCTCAAGGCAAGGGCACCCAACATTAGGCATAAAGATTCCAGTAAGCACCCAGGGATCTGCATACACTTGTTTGGAAAGGTCACAGCATAATTAGGGGTGCCCCGTTTGATACTCCCCTGTCCCCCTTAAGTCGGAAGTCTGATAAACAGGGCAGGTGGCCTTCCACACACTTCCCTTTTCTCAGAATCATCCTTACAAACTTTCCAACCAAGTCTCCTGTGCTTCCCAACAGAGACTGATTTCATATACACACAATAGAGTTCATTAACATACAGTTTATACTATTATTTTATTTTATTTATTATTTTTTTATTACATTATTATCTGTGTACATATTTTAACATTGCCCCCTCCTCCCATACATACCCTCCCTCCTCAGAGTTTTGTGTCCATTGGTTGTACTAATATGCATGTATACAAGTCCTTCGGTTGATCTCTTATCTCCCCCAGATCTCCCTAGATCTCTCTACCCTCCCGGCCAGTTTATACCATCTGATGCATTTTGCTATGTTAGGTATTTTTATTCAGTTCTTTCATTAATATTAACTGTAAGTAGTTAATTTATATTACTAATTTATGCACTTTTACTATACTTTAAAAATATTTTTATTGATTTCAGAGAGAGGAAAGAATAGGGTGAGAAGGATAGAAACATCAATGATGAGAGAGCCTCATTGGTTGGCTGCTTCCTGCATGCCCCCCACTGGGGAGTGAATCCACAACATGGGCATGTGCCCTGACCAGCAATGGAACAGAGACCTCCTGATTCATTGGATTGAGCTCAACCACTAAGTCACACTGGCTGGGCTTTACTATACTATTTTGAATTAACTACAAGTAAATAATTATTTTTTTAAAGTTTATTTTATCACCCAAAATCAGGAGCAGTCAGATTGCTCAATTGTAACTAAGTAAGCCTTTGACATTTATTAGCCCTTGGTGGCAACAACTTATTTAGCCTAATAAAGAATTACAGTAAGGCTTTAATGAAAGATTGCACATAAAGTAGAAATAATAAATTTCTCTCCTAACAGCATATACAGTATCACTTAAACCATTCCAAACATGTATATTACAAAAATAAATAATGATATTTGATGCCCTGACATCACATGGAGAATATCACCACCACCACAATCACCATTGCTAATAGCAACTATGGTAGTAATGATAAAAACAACAAAACCAAAAGTTATCTATTAAATGGTTGTCTTGAACTTGGAATGGTCTTAAATACCTCACAGGTAAATCTTAATGCTTGAGAAATTTATTAACACACATTAAAAATCTTGAAAACACAGAGATAGAAACATATTTAGAAAATGGAAATTTTCTCCTTTATCAGGACAACATAGTAAAATCTTAGTATTTCTATCATTATTTCGTCATAGGTTCTTATTTCTCAAGAGCTTGCCTTCTCATACTTATTAATAAAATACATGTTTTTGTTTGTTTCTTTGTTTTTCAAATTTAAATTTGTTGAATAAATATGAGAAGGGAATAAAAGGTATTGCAATAGTGGCTTGTACGTATTTTTTTATTTGAACTCAAGTTCTTTTTTTAAAAAAAATGTTGCTTTTGGTATACTTTTGTCCTATGATGGTGGTAATATCTTATCCCTCATCTTTCTAATCCTCCTTGTCTTCATCTTCATCCTCCTCATCTTCATCTTCCTCCTCTTCCTCCTCTTCTTCTTCCTCCTCTTCCTCCTCCTCCTCCTCCACCTCCTCTGATTTCTCCTCTTCCTCTGATTCTTCTTCCTCTTCCTCCTCTCCTTCCTCCTCTTCTACCTCTCTTTTTGTTACTTCAAGGGGAAATGTCATCTGTTCTTCCAATAATATATTTGGAAAATGAGACTGTACTATCAAAACAATTGTGACAGATAATATAAAAATTAGTGTTCTCAAAAAGAAAGTTAAAATGCAGATTGGGTCACACACAAGTGGCCGGGGCACTTCCCATCTTGGATACCAAAAATGATAATCTGTCAATAAAAAAGCAATTGAAAACTGGATTTCACATAAAGTAGTTAAATTGTTCAAGAAATAAAGGACAACAATACATACATGTGGCTTCCTCACGTTCTGCATTGCCTGGGGGGAAATAAAAAGGAAGTCAATAAAGAATGACATACATTTTGTCTTTATCTAAAATATAAAATAATTTTTCCAAAAATAATGACATCATTTTCCTAGCTCTCGGGCAACATACATTATTATATTTGATTTCTGCTGTCCTACCAATACCCAGTCATAAAGTCCAATATATCTTCTTGTAGTAAAAGTCAGTCTGGCCTGCTACAGAGAGCATGAAAGTATAGGAAGAGATGTGAATTTCAGAACTAATTCTGTCTCTAAATCATGTCATCTTATATAAATCACATTTGCTTTCTCAAGATTGTTATAGGATCAATAATGTAGGACTCGACAACATCTCTTATTTTCATCTCTTCCTTACACTGATCATTGCAAATTAATCATCAGAATCTTCTCACTTTCCTCATTGAATCTTTATTTTCAGAAGCTTTCAGTTGCTTTTCATTTCCTAGTTGGCAAAGTTAATTCTATAGTTTGGTTTTTGCTATCTAGTCCAAAGCTGTCATAATACCTTTCAGGAAATAATTTTTTCCCCCTCTGCTCACAGGGGCATAGAAAGTCAGATAACCTTTCCTGGATTATTGAGGGCACAGTGGCAACCCATTGTGGGCACAGTGGCAACCTGGGGCTTGTCTTGCAATGATAAAACCTTTAGAGAAAAATTTAGAAATCAGCCGAAACATATCCCCGGTAGGGGGTGTGCAAGAGGCAGCAGGATTTTTGAGGTTATTTCAACCTGGTGTTCTTGGTCATATTTATTGCTATGTATTTTATGTAAACATTTCTATTTTATAGTTCATTTAAAAAATTACCATATAGTCTATATTTTTCCAGCTTTATTCTATATATATCTATTGATTGCTTAGAAGAAGCAATGATATAATTAGTGCATTTCTTTTTTTCATCTTCCTTCATTTCTCATCACCAATTTTTATTGATTACATTCTTTTTTAACTTTTGCACTTGATCAGATATTTAAGTACATTTATACTTACATCTCTTTTTTGTTTCCCCATCATCCCTTATCTACCCTCTACATTCTTCCACCTCCCCCTACACCCTCTTGCAATAATCACCATACTGTTGTCTGTGTCCATGAGTTCTTTCTCTTTCTTTTTTTCTCAATCCCTCCATTCCCCAACTAACAACCCTCCTTCCAAGCTGTCAGCCTGCTTTCTATTTTTTAGTCTATCTCTATTTTGCTTATTAGTTTGTTTGTTCATTAAACTTCACATATGAGTGAAATTATATGAAAGTTGGTTTTTTTCTGAGAGACTTATTTCACTTAGCATAATGTTCTTCAGGCCTATCCATGCTAATACAAAGGAAATTTTCTTCTTTTTTTTTTTTACTGCTGAGTAGTATTCCATTGTGTAAAGGTACCATAGCTTTTCTTTCCCACATATTTTTATTATTGATTTCAAAGAGGAAGGGAGAGGGAGAGAGAGAAAAACATCAATGATGAGAGATAATCATTGATCGGCTGCCTCCTGCACGCCCCACTACTGGGGATTGAGTCCACAACCCGGGGATGTGCCCCAACCGGGAATCGAACTGTGACCTCCTGGTTCATAGGTCAATGCTCAACCACTGAGCCATGCCAACCACTGAGCCAGGCCAGCCAGTATACCATACTTATCTTCTAATAAACACTTGGGCTGCTTCCAAATCTTGGCTACTATAAATAACATGCAATTAACATAATTCTTTTAAATTAATTCTTGGGTTTCTTCAGCTAAATTCCCAGAGGTAGAATTGCTGGGTCATAAGGCAGTTCCTTTTTATTTCTTTTGAGGTTACTCCATACTGCTTTGCACAGTGGCTGCACCAATCTGCATTCCCACCAACAGTGTACAAGGGTTCCCTTTCCTCCACATCCTTGACAACCCTTGTTTGTTGATTTGTTGATGATAGGTGTGAGGTGATAGCTCATGGTTTTAATTTTCCTTTCTCTGATGATTAGTAATGTTGGGCATGGGTTTATTTCTGGGCTCTCTATTTTGCTGCATTGATCTATATGTTTGTGTTTATGCCAGACCACTTTTTTTTTTTTTTTTGTGTGTGTGTGTGTGTGTGTGTGTGTGTGTGTGTGTTTTAAAAATTATCTTTACTGTTGAAAGTATTACAGATGTTCCCTTTTCTTCCCATTGACCCCTCTACCCTGCCCCCACTCAGCCTTCCCCACATTATTGTCTGTGTTCATGGGTTATGCATATATATATTTAGGTTATTTGGTTAAGTTCTCCCCCTCCCCCAACCATCCCTCTGAGATTTGTCAGTCTGTTCCATGCTTCTATGTCTCTGTATCTATTTTGTTTATCAGTTTACTTAATTAGATTCAACATATGAGTGAGATCATATGATACTTATCCTTCTCTGACTAGACTCTTTTGCTTCATGGTATCTCAAAGGGTAAGAGATCCTTCCTCTTTATAGATGGACTAGAGGCTTAGTGCACAAAATTTGTGCACAGTGGAGTCCCTAGGCCTGGCTGTAGGTCAGGGCCAATTAGGTTCCCTGCCTTACCACCTTCTCTTTCCCTTGCTGCCCATGTGCCACCACTGAACAGTTTCCCACCTCTCCATCTCCTCTCTCTTTCTCCTTCCCTCGTTGCCTGTATTCACCACCCACCCCGGTTCCCTGTCCTAGCCCAGAGCCTGGTCCTGATTGGGTGATCAGGACCTGTCGGCCAGGAGCAGGGACTAGGAGGTTGGCCACTGTCCCTGAGGAAGGACCTAGCCTCCCTGAGAACTGGGCTGCATCTGCTGCCACCCACCTCTAGTTCACCATCCCAGCCTGGGGGCCTAGCTCCAATTGGGAGATTGGGGCTGGCTGGTCAAAGGGAGGGACCAGGGAGGTTGGTTAGTAAGCCCCATTGGCAATCCTACATTGAGTGTCTGCCTCCTGGTGGTCAGTGTGCATCATAGTGACTGGTTGTTCCATCTTAGTGGTTGCTTAGGCTTTTATATACACTGAGTAGCCAGATTATTATGACCATGCCATTAGTACTTTGTTGGGCCATCTTTTGCCTTTGATAGATTGGCAATTCTTCTTGGCAATGACTTCACAAGATGGTGAAAGGTGATGGGAGGAATCTAACACCATGCCTGATGAATAGCACTGTCCAGTTTTTTGAGATTTGATGGTTGTGGAACCAGCTGCTTAATGGCTCTTTTAACTTAGTCCCATAAATGCTCAATTGGATTGATCTGGTGATTGTGGGGGCAACCTAAGCAAGGTAAAGTTTCCCTCATGTTCTTGAAACCACTCCTACACAATACGAGTACTGTAACATAGTGCGTTATCTTGTTAAAAGAAGCCATCTCCATTGGGATGAACTTAATCAACAATGATACTTAGGTATGTTGTGCTATTCAGATGTTGTTCCACATGAATTAAAGGCCCAAATCATGACAGGAAAACAATGCTCCAAACCATAACACTGCCCCCACCAGCTTGAAGGGTTATATTTATGCATGTGGGGTGCATGCTTTCATGCTATTTCTGCCAAATTCTCACCCTGCCATCTGCATAATGCAACTGGAAACGTGATTCATCGGACCACATGACTTTTTTCCAATGCTCGACTTTCCAATCCTTGTGTTCCTGTGTGAATTGGAGATGTTTTATCTTGGTAACTGCAGACAGCAAAGGTGTTCGAACAGGCGTTCGGCTTCCATATCCCATATGATGCAGTGTACGACTAATTTGCCTACAAACGCCAGGTGGTTATAATAATCTGGCCACTCAGTGTATATAGATAGTATTTCATTGTGTAAATGTACCACCACCGCTTTTTAATCTACTCATCTGCTGATAGGCCCTTGGGCTGTTTCCAGATCATAACTATTATTAATTTCACTGCTATGAGCACAGAGATGCATACATCCTTTCTGATTGGTATTTAAGGTTTCTTATAATATATTCCTAGATGTGAGGTCACTTGGTCCAATGGCAGTTCCATTTTTTAATTTTTTGAGGAAACTCCATACTGTTTTCCACAGTGGCTGTTCCAGTACTAGGCTATTTTGAATACAGACGCTTTGTAGTATGATTTGACATCTGGTATTGCAATCCTTCCAACGTTATTCTTCTTTCTCAAGATTGATATGGCTATTTGGGGTCTTTTTTGGTTCCATATAAATTTTTGGAATATTTGTTCTAGATCTGTAAAATATGCCATTGATATTTTAATAGTAATTGCAGTGAATCTATAGATGCCTTTTATTTTTCCCTGTCTGATTGCTATGGCTAGGACTTCTAGCACTATGTTGAATAAGAATATGAAAATGTACATCCCTGTCTTTTTCCTGATCTTAAAGGAAACACTACTAGTTTTTGCCCTCTGAGTATGATGTTGACTGAAGGTTTGTCATATATGGTCTTTATTACATTGAGGTATATTTCCTCTATTCCCACTTTGCTGAAAGTTTTTATCATAAATGGGTGCTGGATTGGCTCTCCCTCCTGGGATCATGCCTAAGCCTTTCCCTTCTGCCGTTTCCCTTTCCTTCCCCATCTTCCCCTTTTTACCTTCCTCACTCCCTAGGCCATAGGGCCTTCATTTACCTCTATAACTTGTTTCCTAAGCCCATTTCTTCTATGAATAACTTCTTCTACTTCGTGATTTTCCAAACAAATGTTCTCTTATATGTATTGCTGGATTTGGTTTGCTAATATTTTCCTGAGGATTTTAACATCTATTTCATCAGGGATATTGGCCTGTCATTTTCTTTCTTTGTTTGTGTCTTTATCTGGTTTTGGAATTAGAATCATGCTGGTCTTGTAAAATGAGCATGGGAATTTTTCCTTCTCTTGAATTTTTCAGAATAGTTTGAAAAGAATAAATGTTAGTTTTTCTTTGGATGTTTGGTGTAATTTACCTGTGAAGTCATTTGGTCCAGGACTTTTATTTGTAGTGAGTTTTTCTATTACTGCTTCCATTCCATGGGTTGTAATCTGTCTATTCAGATTTTTTTATTCTTCCTGATTCAGTT